TACCCTCATTCTCCACCATTGTCGTGAAGTGGTCATGAATCTGAGACCACTCGTCATTGCACCAATCATCAATGTCCAAAACCGATCTTTTGATTCCGAATGAGGTGGTCAAATGGTATGATTGTCGTATGGATCATACGAAGCTAGTGCTCTGCTACTGCGCAAATGTGAATGAGCGGGTGAAGGTAGTTGGCGTTCACGTCGGTCGTACTGTGACGTTTCGCAGCAGAGACGCAGAGAGAAAGGACATTCGATACATGGCGACGACGTCAAGGTCGGTGATGGCGTCAACGATGGCCCCTTGCCAGAGTTGCATTGTCGAAGGTGCGCGTCGACGACGGTGGGTCATGTTTCCAACTGCGCCCTCGCGAGCCTGTACTGACACCTAACGCTGTCGAGTCGAGGGCTTCAGAACCAAACAATGGAGCTGCAGTTGGTACAGAGCTAAAGGTAGCTTTGAACGTGGTCTTGGCCTCAAAGCCACCGCCGATATGAATGGGCAGTACTCTAGAGGTAGTAGTTAGTGTACATGGTACATGTAGTTGTACAAGATCAGTTGTCGTGAATCATATGAGGTGACGGCGGACCTAGCAACCTCGGCAAGCACGATGGGACGGTACCCATCTCTCTTGCACGAGAGCAGCAACTAGCAGAACCACCTCTTTGGTTCATTCATGCTGCTGGTTCTGCGTCAAGGCAGGCCGAGGAAAACGATGTGATCCATCGTCCCCTCCATACGTAGCGTCGCATCGTAGAAGCTCCAGCCAACAGTCAGTGTTGACGACGCCCTGACGATGGCGCGGCCGGCAGAGATTGCAGACTTTTTTCAACGCCCTTCTCTTTTTCGTTGGGCCACGAGCTTCGCTGGTCAGCATTCACTTTTGGTTTTGCCATGGACGATATCCGTGCGCCGCTTTCTCTGCCGCACTGCTTGGCCGCCCTCGCGTTCACGTTCCTTTCGACGGGTCTCAATCCGTGGGTCGTTTTCCCGGACTCCGAGATGGAAGCGCGGGTCTCAAGCGTGCTTGTGACACTTGGTCTCACGGCCGTCGTGTTTGCGGTGCCCTGCGTGCTCCATGCGCTCAGGTTTGGCCGCGATCAGTACACGGCCGAAGAGCGCACCTCGATGGCCGTCGTGACTCTCTTAGCGATTGGTTGCGCCGTGCTCGCCATCGACTAGTAGCCCACTCGGCAGTCTACGTCTTTGGTGTCCTTCGCGCGTTTCTCGGTTCGACCTCGAGCGCTTTGACCAACACACCACCGCCGCCAGCTTCTCATGTCTTCCACGTCTAATGCTAACCATCGTATTCTCATGGTTTCCTTCACAGTGTTGTTGTTATTGTTGCAGCATGTCTTCTATCGAGTAGATCCAACGTACTAGACTCCCATACATGACGTTCTTGGTCACGTACTCTCGGCTCAGGAATGGCGATGGCTGCGATGGCAGCGCCTAAATGCTGCTTGCGATCCCAAGGCAACTTCAAGCTGCGACGATATTATAACATGTTAGATTTAAATCCCATGTGTTATAACAGGCCATTGCATTTTTTGCTGCGCGTTATTGGAGCGCAATGGACCGCGAAGAGCTCGAGCACTACACCGAGGTCCTCCTCTCGATGAAGGAGTACGAGGGCTTCGTCTGGCGCGAAGCCTTCCGCAAGAAGAAGCACCTCAAGCGCCTTAGCGAGAAGCACCTGCGCCTCCTTCCGGACGAGACCCAGAAGGCCAATATCGCGGCCATGATGGTACGACCAACAACGCCGATGACTGGCAGGATGGCTCATACGCGTCCTGTAGCGCTGTGCCAAGACGAACCAAGTGTTCTGGGACGAAATTTGCGAGATGCAAAAGGGCTACGGGCCCGAAGTTGCGCTTCCAAGCCATATCAACTTCAAGGAGCCGCTCAAGACGCCGTACCGCCACTACTCGAAGCTCAAGAGCACGCTGCACCAATGCGTCCGCGACTGGGCCGAAGAAGTATACGACTACGCATCAACGCTCGAGGTCTTATGCGTTTTGTAGGGCGCCGAGGAGCGCGAGCAGTGCTACAAGCCGATCCTGGACGAGCTCAAGCGCGTGCTGCCCGTCAACGCCAGCAACAAGTCGGCCTCGATGCTTCTTGCGAGTATGTATCTCATGTGTGTACGTGTAGGTACCAGCAAAAGGTGCTCGTGCCCGGCGCCGGCCTCGGACGACTGGCGCTTGAGATCGTCTCGATGGGCTACGTCACCGAAGGCAACGAGTTTTCGTACCAAATGCTCTTTACGAGCAACTTCATCTTGAACTGGTGCGACGACCCTCTCGTCCTCGACGATAATCTTACATGATCGAATAGCGCGACCGAGCCGCAGGCGTTCACGCTGCATCCGTGGATCGACAACCCCTGCAACGTCATGCGCTTTGAAGACTTCAGCCGTCCCGTGACGATCCCGGACGTCGCCCCCGCCTCGCTTCTCGATGCTGCCAGCAGCGGTATGATATCCTTCCTTGTGCTTGCGAATGAATGATGGACTAGGCCACGAGCGCACGTTCTCCATGTGCGCCGGTGAGTTCTTGGAAGTGTACGCGGACGACGTCGGTAGGTTCACTGCACTTGAGTCGAAAGCTCATGGACGGTAGACACGTGGGACTGCATCGTGACGTGCTTCTTCATCGACGCGGCGCCAAACGTCATCGAGTACATGGAAGCGATTCAGCGCATGCTCAAGCCTGGCGGCGTGTGGATCAACCTCGGACCGCTTCTGTACCACTGGGCGAACGGCGATGGCGACGACGACGATCGCTACGCCCAGTCGATCGAGCTCACGTACGAGGAGGTCAAGCACGTCGCCCAAGGCCTCAACTTTACGTTTACGGTACGCGCCTCCGTTCGATGCATCGCTTGATATCACATCTGCTCCTACCATAGCACGAAGAGCGTCGCGAGTGCTTGTACACGTGCAACCAGCCGTCGATGCTGCGCTCCGTGTACCAATGCGTCCAGTTCACGGCCGTCAAGGGCGCCCAGACGACCTCGAGCTCGCCCGCCAAGGCGAAGAAGTAGATGGCAGCAGCTTGCTTGCTTGAGAAGATACTGCGATAACATGCTAGTGCTTGGCGTCTCATGCAGGTCGAGCGAGGAGCTCGAACGAGTTGGTGAACGGGCTCCAGTCGAACGTCAGGTCGTCCATCGCCATCGGCTTGTCCTTGAGGAAGAAGAGCGCGCCCAAGGTCGACGTAAGATGCACTGCGTCTCCATCGCTCGGCGGCGCTTGGTCCAGCATGGCCCCCTCGTGGGTCGCTCGCGGCCGGCCCGGCGGGAGGAAGCGCTGCGCGGGGAGGCCGACCTTCCTCCGGAGGACCTCGTTGGCGCCGAGGATTCGTCCCCCCAAGGCTTCGGCTACGCTTGTCCTCCTTGTCGGGCTCGGCTCCATGCTGCTCCGGCGGCTCCTCGGCAAGATGGAAGATCGCGCGCGTAATTTTATTCGGCTGCGTTTGCGCGCGCTTCGTATCCGGAACATTTGCTACATTTGCCAAGTTAAAAAATAAAATTCTAAACGGAAAATGGTAGCTTGCGTTTTGTATGGGGAGGCGCTTCCCCATTCAAATAATATCCGGATACGACCTATACAAAGACCAAGTGATGAAGGGTGGTCGAAGCCAGGAGGTCAAATTACCGGACTTTGCCGCTATTTTCATACTGAGTACTGGAGGAGGACTTCGCCCATGTTCTACTCGCAGCTCATCCTGGCCAAGAAGGGCCCGCTCGGGCAGGTCTGGCTGGCCGCCCACTGGGACAAGAAGCTCACCAAGGCCGCAATCTCGGCCGCGGACGTCGGCGAGGCCGCCGACTCGATCGCCAACCCCGTCGTCCCGCTGGCCCTTCGCGTCTCGGGCCACCTCTTGCTCGGCGTCACGCGCATCTACAACCGGAAGGTCAACTACCTCTTCACGGACTGCAGCGAAGCGCTCGTGAAGATCAAGATGGCCTTCCGCCCCGGCGTCGTCGACTTGCCCGAAGCGCAGACGACTGCGAACCTCAGCGCCATCAACGTCGCGTCGTTCGGCGAGTTTGACGCGCAAATGCCCTACGACATCCAGTACGAACCATTGGATCGTAGCAACGCGCAGTGCTCATGCTGCGGTATAGGACGCTCGCCGCGCCATCGCTGACGGAATGGATGACGACGCCGTCGCAGACGCAGGCCCGGCGCCAGGACATTACGCTCGCGGACACGAGCAACCCGAGCGTCTACAGCAACGACTCGTTCAACGCCCATGGTACTCGCCCGCCTCTGCAATGTCGTCTGACGAGCGTCATGTAGATTCCTTTGGCAACAACGACTCTTTTGGCGGCGGCGACTGGCAGCCGTTCGATGTTGAAGACCAGCCCAACAACGACGTAGGCCCGCGCATGCGCTCTCCAGATGGCTAACAAATCGTGTAGCTCGACACAAGTGGCATCAGCGATGTTGAACGGGGTCGCAACGCGGCCGACGTGAGCGGTCTGAGCATCCGCGCCGACCTCGACGCATCCATCGACAACTTGCAGAAGGACGACGATGGCGTCGACTTGTTCCAAGACGACAAGGACGATGACGTCGAGATGGGCGATCCCGATGCGCCCGAGATGGTCGACGACGTCTCGATGCCCGACATTGACATGCAACTTGTCGACGACCAGTTCGACACGGGTGGTATCGACGTCGAGCCGACCAGCCCCATGGCCGACTCGCAACTTCTCGACTTTGCGATGCACGGCGTTGAGAACCCGACGGAGGCCATGCCCAAGCGCCAGCGCAAGCGCAAGATTGGCCAGGACTCGATGACGGAGCTCTCGTCGGCCGTCATTAAGAAGGGCTTGAAGGACGTATCGGACATCGTCCGCGTCCGTGACGGTCGTGGCACGAAGCGCCAGAAGCTCCAGCAGCAGCCTATCGACGCGCTTCTCAAGCCGTCGACGAGCGGTCTCAACGCGCAGCTCCAAAGCATGTTCAAGGTCACGATGAAGCACGCCAAGCTGCCCGATCCCATCACGGACATGCAAAAGGAAAACGAGGAGAAGGAGGCCGAGACGAGCGAGCACGAAACCATCGAGCGAACGCGGCGGCAGGCGACGTCCGTGTCGTACAACGAGGTCGACGAAGACGTCGATGACGTCCAACAGGCGCCGGAAGCACCCAAAGAGCAGGCCGACTTTGAGTTTGGCGGCCCCGGCGACGAAGACGATGTGCACGCAGACCACGGCCTCGAGATGGACGACGAACGCAGCATGGACGACGTGCTCGTGGGCCAAGACGGTCTCCCGATGGACCTCGACTTGTCGCTGGCCCCCGCTTCGAACCCCGAGGCGACGCAGGCGGTCGATGCGCCGTCCACGTCGACGCACAAGTGGCACCCGCACACGGTCAAGGTCATGAAGGTGCTCCGCACGTCCATGCAAGATCACGTACGTTATTGCGTCGAATCGGCCTATGATTGCTGATCGGGTATTACGATGTAGGACTCGGTGTCGTACCAGCAGCTCGCCAAGTCGACGCGCAGCCGCCGGACCGCGGCCGCGCTTTTCTTTGAGCTCCTCCAGCTCAAGACGCTCGACCTCGTCGACGTCAACCAGCCCACTGCGTACGGCAACATCCATGTGACCAAGACGGACCGGTTCGCCGATTACATCCCTGCCGTCGACGGCGCCTAGTGACGTAGGACTAGTGAATTGCTCTTTATTTTAACCTTTGATTTTGCGATAACGAGCTTTGCGTTGCATGGACATTCTTCCTGGACAGCCCCGTGTATGCCATGGACTGCATGGACACAAGCAGCTCGCGCCGTGCTGCATCGCATGGCGAAGGCCAAGATACGGGACATGACATGTGTTTTTTCGTGGCACTCTGAGCCATCGTCCAGTGCTTGGATGGCGTCCCTTGACGAGGAGTTCGTCTTTGGCTGCAGTGGGTAGCAGAGGACGCGGCGAGTTGATTCCGGCCGACGGAACGCCACATCCAGCGTCGTCGATCATGAGATGCCGGTTCTTCGAGCGCCGCCATGTGCGATCTGCCTCCTGCGTTCTGTGCGCCCGCTCTCGCGATATGCCACATCGATGGCGCAGAGAGATGACATTCTCCATTTGGCTTCAGCAACAACAACAACCAGCATGGTGGCAGTGTACGTTCAAGGCTTCCTCGCGCTTGCGGCGGTCGCGTTCGCCGCCCAAGAAGCGCCCGCCGACGCCATGACCTTCGGTAAACTCGTCGACTGCGATCAGAACGGCGGCGGCAAGTGGAACGGTGGCGGCGGCGGTGGCTGGAACATGAACGGCGGCGGCAAGTGGAATGGCGGTGGCGGCGGCGGCTGGAACAATGGCGGCGGCTGGAACAATGGCGGCGGCTGGAACAACGGCGGCGGGGGCTGGGGCAAGCGG